CCTGTCTCTCCCCGTTTCCTCCCTGTCTCTTCCCATTTCCTTCCTGTCTCTCCCCGTTTCCTTCCTGTCTGTTCCCGTTTCCTGTCTCTCCCCATTTCCTTCCTGTCTGTTCCCGTCCTGTCCTGTGGGGGTCAGATGAGCGTTAATCCGGGCTGACACCAGAACGCTCCGGGCTGCTCGTTGGAGAGGAAGCTGTATTGATTCCAATCTGCTGCTGTGATGGGATCGATACGTGCACTCTGATGGAGCCGTGCACGTGCTCATATCCAGGCCAGTGGTTATATCATCCTGCTGGGTTTACGTAACCGGGTCAGAACCGCAGAGATGCAAACTAAATTAGCTTTATTGTTCTGAACCTGGAACTGCGCTCTGAGTAAATCTAATGATGGAGCAATAACGTCCAGAAGGAGGAGCTTCTACAGTCAGAGCTGCTGCCTCTGGAGGTCGGCCCGGCGTGGGTCTGAGCTCATTATTCTGCTTGGACATTAACCCTTACATAAAAAACATTTAGAAAAGTAAGATGGCTGGTCTAAAACATAATCCATAAGTGGTCTTAACCTGGTCCTAAAGCCAACTAAGCTGGTCAACATCCAGTCCAACTGGGTTTGAATCCATCAGCAAAGTATTCAGAGTCTTTACCAAGAAGCTCCAAACCTTCCAGAAGGACAACCATCAATCCACCAATCAGGTCTGTTTGGCAGCGGCCAGACGAAGGCGCTCGCTGATAAAAGGAGAGAGGCAGCAGGTCTGGAGTTTCCCAGACGGCTCCTGATGGAACCAGGGACCAGGAGGAACACGAGTCTCTGCTCTGACGAGACAAAGATGGAAGTCTCTGGTCGCTGATTCGCATCGGTCTAACATGATGGATCAGGACGTCCCGCCCACATTTAGTCTAGATCTTATTCTAACTCAGCTGAAGGAGCACCTGATGTCCCACGAGTCCCTTTACAAACTCGACAGGTTATATGGCGAGTGAGAAAGTGGTTTGGGAGTCCCTACATGTCCGAGCCTGATCCCCGTCCTGCAGGGCGAGGAGCAGATCTTTTTTTTTTTTTTTTACTAATGGGCCGCCATTTGTAAAGTTAAGCATTCAAAAATTAGGCGCAAAATTTATGGTTATTTAGCCTGTTTTAGGATAAAAATAAGGGGTTTATTATTTCACTATATCATTCATTCTTTTATAAAATACTTACTTTTTAAAATTATTCAGTTTGGAGCTAAATATTTATTATTACGCTTAACTTTTCAAACCGCACCCTATATAAACTTTATTTACTTAAACGCAGATTAATAGGCAAATAGAATCACAAAGAGGATCATGGGGAAAAGCAAACAAAATGCTAATAATTGGGTCTAATCTGACAGAAAAGAGCAGTACTGTAAAGGGTATAGCACATATTTAGGTCTGTACTCTAGGAAAGGATGTTTTAGATTCAGAGAAAGCCAAAATAACAATAATAGTAATAACAGAGCACTTCGCTCTCAATCTGCAGGTTTACTAGTGGTTCCTAGAATTTCTAAAAGTAGAATGGGAGGCAGATCTTTTAGTT